GGGATAATTGGGATGGGAGTGTCAGAGACAGTGCGATTGGCACAGGACAGAGCGGAGTTTAGGGCTGTTGTACATAGGGTCGCTATGAGTCGCAAGCGATTCGACAGCACATAACAACAACATTCTATGTAGGGAGCTCTGGTGCCTTAGTGATAAAGAGTTGTGCTGCCAAAATAATAGTTGTTGTTGCTGTTGTTAAGTGCCATCAAGTCGCAGGCGACCCTATGAAGGAGAGTCCTCAACTCTTGGGTCTCTTTCTTCCTCTCTCCAGGTTCATAGGGTTTCCTGAGGCAAGCTATTGCGGAAGTGGATGCCACTCCTCCTTCCAAGCTTGTTTTAATCTGGGAGCTCCAGCCCACTCTCTGTCTGCACTGGGTAACCAACCATTAACGCATTTGACACATCAGTGTCAGTGTCCAGCCTCAAGGCAACCACAAGTTACCGCTGTACAGCAACTTGTACACCAGGGCTATATACGACCTAGAGGAATGTCTGAACAAAAACAAGGAACGATAGGCCCGAGGACCACGGGTTAATAGTAGGTGGTTCAAATCCACCAGCAGCTCCGCAGGAGAAGGATAGAGTCTCCTCCCCTGTGATTTACTGCTCTGAAAATCCGCTGGAGGGTCAGCTTTGGAGGTCAGAACAATAGCACATTCAAGTTAGCCCTTTTTTTTGGTCACCACAGTAATCAATTCATCAAATCTTTCCTGAGGCCTCCTACTTGGGGGGATGCATTGTGGGTGCTGCCTGAACTTTGACACACAGCAGAGCAGACTTCATCCTCCTCACTCGGAGATCCTTCACTCCCTCTTCCAGATCATCCCTTGTTCTTGAACTCAAGAAACTTTCACAGAGTAGCGCGTCCCCACTCCCGAGGCTGGCACTGTAAGCAGCACTCTGCGTGTTCTCGACACTGCTCTTTGGCTTCGCTGACCCCTCCTTCAGCAGCTTCTTCCGCCCTGCCATTCCATGTGGGTGCAGCCTCAGGCCACTTCCCCTTCCTCTCCAGCAGCGCCGCAGAGACTGGAGCCCCAGCCGGGCCATGGCTGCCGAGTACGCCGTGGTGCAGCGCAGGGCACCAGCGAGCGCACGGCCGCTGGGGAGCGAACGCAGCACGGACCAGGTGCCGCTGTACAGCCAGGTGAGGCCGCGTGCACAGCGGCCCGCGGATACGCCCAGCACGAGCGCACCGCCAGGCCACGGTGAGTCTACGTGCGACCTCGCCTGCTGCCTATGGGGGCAGCTACACCCCGCCTAATTTCTCGGGCTGCCCAGTCTCCCAGGGGCTGGGAGGACCGCAGGCCTCCCGCCCCTCCTGCCCCACCTCCCCCCCTCCCGCCATGAGGAGGACTTGCCAGCCCAGTCCGGCTTGGCCACGCCTTGGAGGTTGACCTTCCCTTGTAACAACCAAGGTACCGGCACACTGGTCACCTCAGGACTTCCTGGCCATAGCTCGGAAATCCCACTTGGGCAAGGCAGGGCCCTTCTTTCTCTGGACAAGCCCTTGATTTAGGCCATGCCCCAAAGGCGGATGTCTCCATCTTGGTCACGCCCCTGACACATCTCATCTCCAGCCAGCGCTGGCCTCCATGTCCCCGCCTCCAGCTTGTCCTCTGGGCCCTTTTTGTGGTCCTTCAGGATGTGAAATCTCTGAATCATTGGTGAGGTCACCTTGGAAGGTTACTTCGAGGTTCAGCCTGTGCGTATTCCTGGGGATTTCCTTACAGCTCCTGCCCACCGAAGTTCTGGTTGGCCCAGCGCCTATGAGGACGTGGCAGATGGAATGCACATCAGTGGACTAGGTAAATTATAGCCAGTTGCACGGGACCCTCTCCACTTTTAAGTGAAGCTGTTAGCTTTAGGGTTGGGGTATGGGACTCACTCTTGGCATCTTGGGAACTTGGCCATAGTGAAACTAGATGGCGTTAAAGGCGTGAAGCTGTCACACCTCCAAACTTCCACTTCCTCAAAGGTCCCAGGTTTTCTGTGACTTAACAATGCTCTTCCTCTCTCAGGCTTCAATCTCCGCATTGGAAGACCTAAAGGGCCCCGTGACCCACCTGCTGAGTGGACTCGAGTGTGAATGGAACAATCTGCTTGACTGTTGCCACCAGTTCTTACCTGCCCTGCCAACTGCCACTGTTTTTATGTGCAAAATGTTGAGAATGAAAACCCAGAGCGTGGCTCAAAATAAACATTTCTAGAGTGGAGAAGGTGGGAACTTTGCCTCAGTGATATGAGGTGGCTAGTGGGGCTGTACTGAATAGGTTCAAGAAAGACCATTAAGACTGATCCATTCCTGGGGCTAGGTAAGTGCGGTTCCCAGTTGTGAGGGCTAATCTCACAGAGGCTACTGCCCATCATCACATAACAGACTGGCTTGTCCCATATCTTAGGATCCATCACTCAGACACACAGACATCCACCTAGAGAGAGATCAAACAATGAACACATGGACCCACTGCCATCTAGACATCCATGCCACCATAACCATAACCAAGTAGAAATCTCTGACCTAGATAGACATATAGTCAGACCTGCAGAGGAATAATCCTCAGATAGACAGATATACCCCCAGCTGAAGCGGTAGGCTGTAGACAGCCTCAGAGAGATTACCTGACAGGTCCCCCAAAGACAACCTCAAATAAATGGGTCGTTGTGTGGACAAACTCGCAGTCACATCAGTAAATTTCCAGCTGGGCAAACACATAGACATCCTCTCAGTCTCTTCAGATCCCTTATCTCCAAGTGAGCAGACTGACCTACTGTTCAGACGTTCTTTAAGCCAGCCACATGCATACCAGCCACACAGACAGACCCCAATACCACAAATACTTAGCTATAGACTTCTAGCAACCAGCCATGTAAAAGGATGTCACCAGTTCCACAGAGCCTATTCAGTGCAAACAAACTGGTATACACAGACCCTCACAGACACAAGAAATTGGAGCCAGACAGAGCCCCGACTCTCCATAGTTTCCAGTTGGGTAGACTGGAAGATCCTTCAAACAGACAGACTCCCTACTAGCTGAATGGAGATGGAAATGGATGGACCCCCAGTCTTTCAAGTAGATAGGCTTTACCCCTTGAGATAATGCGTCCCCTGTTGCAAGTTGGAATTCCTGGCTAAATGAACAGACGTTAGCTGGAGAGATCCCTGGCCAGATGGATCAGTGGATCCCTGTCTGGACAAACATATGCATAGGCTGAGCAGGCAGGCCCCTCAAGTGAGTATATAGGCACATCTCCATTGTTCCAGACAAATGAATGACCAGCCAGTCAGATTCTTTGTACCTTCAGATTCCAGCCATCCTGACCCCTAGCCCTTGAGCTGAGCAGACAGGTACAACAGACTGCCTTTTTATTAAACAGTGTCAGTCACTTAGAGGTCACTATCGTGGCACCAATGGGGGGCACTCAGGCAGAAGGCTCAACCATCAGTGTGACTGATGGATGGGGCACCTAACCAGAGTTGGATGATATTCCAAGTAGAGAGACTCATCTGGATCCCAGACAGAATGACTCCAAACTTAGCAAGATATACAAAGATCTGTGGTTGGACAGACATGTAGTCCTCCAGACAGACTCTACAGTAGACAACCAGCAAAATAGGCAGTCTCCAGTTGGCACACTTGATGGATGAAGCAACCAGCCAGAAAGATAGTCCCCATCCAGGTAGATGGGCTACCAGGTCAGATGTATCCCCAGCTGGACAGAAAACAAGCGCATATTTACATGTGATGCACCAAAACTCTGGTCTTGCTCTATGGTCCTTCTTCCCAATATGGTCTTACTTCCAAATAAGTTATTATTTCTCTAACAGCATTAGGATCATCTAAGAAATTTCCAATTTATTTCATCCAATCCAGTGCTGTTGGGAAACCACCTTTTATCCACAATGTACATGGTTCACAAGTCCTCAGCCAGCCCTTGTTCATACAGTTAATATGATAATTCAGTGAAATAATGTTTGTAACAGGTTTAGTTCAAGGCTCTACACTGTGTTCAATCTACATGTTAAGCTATACTTAAAAGGTTCTCTGATGGCCTAATGGGTAGTAATTTGCGCTGCTAACCCAGAAGTGCAAAGTTTGAACCCACAAGCAGCTGCGTCAAGGGGGAAAGATGAACAGTGCAGTTTATAGCTTTGGAAAATCCACTAAAGGGTCAGTTATAAGGCAATTCTAGGGCAATGAATGAGTGAGTAATGCTTAGTTCTAGACCTCTGTTTTCAATATTGTTACTGGAACAAGTTGTTTGCCCATTAAAGGTTTGGAAAATAAAGATGAAACTTGAATGACCACTTTCTACCTTATGATCTCTACATTAGGAGCAACTCAACCAGTAGCAATCAGGAGTTGCTGAGTTAACAAGTGATTCTCTGGCTTAATAGAAGCAGAAAGCCAAAGTTCCAGCCTTACTATGAGTATACATTCAGATAAAAGTTGGAGCTCACATGATTGGAGAGAGGAAAGAAGGAGGCCTCAGGGCTGTCAGCATCAGTGCAAGATTAATGTGTCATTTAGAGTAGAAACCAACCTCACAAGCAGGGTTATTAAATTCACTTGATTATACAGATAGAAGATGAAAAAGTTTTTTCCAGAAGAAACAGAGGATGTGGTGGAAAGAGGAGGTCCATTTCTCTCTTGAGAGAAGGGAAACCAAGGCCAGTTAGAGTTTTCCCCTGGGGTTTGCTTTGAGTCAAATGGAAATTTAGCCAGATTTCCTACCACATGCCAGATTATGGGACCATAGTTGACAGGCCAGGGTACAAAGGTTTAAGAATAGTTATTTGCGACCGGATTGAATGAAGATCTATAGCTAGTGCTCCTACACATAGTTACTCCATGTTCGGTAGAATGGAACTCTACCCTATCCTGTGCCATTCTCACAATCTCTGATATTCTTAAACCTATTGTTTAACTCCATTGTTTAATTAAACTAATTAACTAATTGATTAACAAAACTTTATGTCAATTCATCTCATTATGAGTTCTTCCTTTCCTTTACCAACCTTCTATTTTCCTTTTTTCTCCCCAAGCATGATGTCCTTTTTCAAGGACTGGTCCCTCCTGATTATATACCCAAAGCATGTGAGAAAAATCTCATCATCCTCACTGTGAAGGACCACTCAGGGTGAACTTTGTCCGGTATAGATTTGAGCTTTCTCAGCTACATCTTCGCAATAGAAACAGAAACAATCATCATCATGCAGTTCTTTGTAACTCCCAGAAGCTACACATTATTGAGGTGACCAACCAAGGAACAGTTGTCCAGATCAAGGCTCATGTATTGCTGGAGGTCACTGTCCCTAATGATCAGGTTATGCTACTGGGAGGCACACCCCTGGAGGAGTGTGGTGCTGGACCAGTGTGGTCTGGAGCGTCTCACCACTCTGGAAGTAGTTGGCTGCATGCTTGGAGATAAGTCCATCAGTGTGGTGCCTGGCTAGTGCTGGAAAAGTGAGAGGTCAGACTTCTATAGTTGCTAAACAGAAGAAAAATAAGATTGGCCAAACTATGTAGTAGATGCAGTACAACTGACAGTTTGTCAATGTTGTATTTACCTTTGACTAGAAGAAATGATATAGCACCAACTCTTAAGTCCTTTTGTAACCCTGGCTGCCTTCTAATAAAGCCACTTACAAAAAACCCCCTATAAAGCAGTCAAATCCCCCAAAAGATTTGATCCCTATTTTGACTCTAATAATATTATGTCTATATCTGTCTATCTATATAGTCTATGAATAATGATATTATGAATATTCAATATTGAAAGGCATCAATTCTTCAGCCTTCCTTATTTATTGTCCCACTTTAACATATATATGAAGCAATTGAAAATATAATTGCTGGGTAAGACCTATCTTACCTGACATTCTTGCCTTAGCATGCAAGAGGTCCATTTTTTTTTAAATTTATTTGGACAATGACCAAGGAGGATAGAAGGAGAATTGATGCCTTTGAGCTGTCGTGCTGGAGAAGAGTATCGAGAGTACCATGGACTGCTAGGAAAACAAACAGATTCATACTGGAAAGGGTTAAACCGGGTGGCTCCTTAGAGGCAAGGATTCTGAGGCTCCATCTAACATACTTTGGACATGTTGTAAGGAGTGACTGGTCCTTGGAGAAGGACATCATGCTTGAGAGGGTGGAGAGAGAGCGCAGGAGGGGAAGGCCCTCCATGAGGTGGATTGATTCAGTGACTGGGATAATCGGGATGGGAGTGTCAGAGACAGTGCGATTGGCACAGGACAGAGCAGAGTTTAGGGCTGTTGT